GACAACAACAAAAAAAAATTGGGCAGTACCAAAATTCAACTTATCAATTGAACCACTTTTGGACTGTAATCGAAGGAGACTTTGCATAGCCACTGGATATCATCTGGACTCCCTCTCTTGCAGACAAAATGTTGTCTCTCTTCTACAGACACTTTTATAGCCATTGTTTTAACGCTACTCTTACATGTTGGTCCACCTTTGAGACCTTTTCTGTGTACCACCATGTGTTTGTGCTTAGGATGCTGAAAAAAGAAATGATGAGGAAACTTCACCATCCGAATTCCTTGTTCGGAATCTTTTTACAGTGACAGTTTCTTTCCCCATATGGCCAAGCTTTGGAATTCCCTCACTGACAAGGGTTTCCCACCAACCTACAATCTACAGGCTTTCAAATCAAACATTCACCGCCATCTCTTGACAAAGCCATGTTTCTCTCATATTTCTAGTTCAATGCCAAGAAGTGGTCGTATAGGACTTGAATTGAACCACTTCGTTAAAAAAAAAGTGGTGACTTACCCAGCTGATAACATGGTGGGTTGCAGGTTATAGTGTATGGCCAGGCCGATTGTCGCTCCAAAACTGGCCAGCAGCAGAACAACCTGGGTGATCATTCCTACCAGGAAATACCTGGGAAAGGGAAAACAGGATCATAGTAATAATCAGATTGATTAATTGATTGCTTGATTGCTAAATAAATACAAAGTCTAGCTGCCACTGTTAAACCAAATCTGTAGTCTCCATAGTTTAAATTTGTGATGTTCCTGTACAAATATATACAATATCGCAAAGGAGATTGTGGAACCCCAAATCATGGAAACAGAAGTTGTGGAAGACTGCACACGATAATACATTAAACAGCTTGAATCTGACAGTGGTGTATGAACCTAAGTCAGCTGTCTGCAGTGATGGGTGACACAGAGTTATGGATACAGGAAGATTCCAAGCGAGCTCGATGGAGTGAGTGAGTGAGTCAAAGTGAGTGAGTCAAGTGAGTGAGTGAGTGAGTGAGTGAGTGAGTGAGGGAGTGAGTGAGTGAGGGAGTGAGTGAGTGAGTCGGTGAGTGAGTGAGTGAGTGAGTGAGTGAGTGAGTGATGAGTGAGTGAGTAATGAGTGAGTCAAAGTGAGTGAGTGAGTGATTGAGTGAGTGAGTGAGTGAGTGAGAGAGTGAGGGAGGGAGTGAGTGAGTGAGTCAAAGTGAGTGAGTGAGTGAGTGATGGAGTGAGTGAGGGAGTGAGTGAGTCGGTGAGTGAGTGATGAGTGAGTGATGAGTGAGTGAGTGAGTGAGTGAGTGAGTTGGTGAGTGAGTGATGAGTGAGTGAGTGAGTGATGGAGTGAGTGAGTGAGTCGGTGAGTGAGTGAGTGAGTGATGAGTGAGTGATGAGTGAGTGAGTGAGTGAGTGAGTGAGTGAGTGATGAGTGAGGGTGTGAGTGATTGAGTGAGTGAGTGATGAGTGAGTGAGTGAGTGAGTGAGTGAGTGAGTGAGTGAGTGAGTGAGTGTTTGTACAGATACACTTAAACAGTAGCCTACCTGAATGTGATCCAGATGATTGGGACACTGATGACAAAGAACTGCATGTCATTAGCCAGGTACCAGGTCCACACCATGCACTGAAACAGGAAGGTTGAATTTGCAGACACAATCTGAGACTGCAAAACTTTGTAAATAAATGTTTGTAACAAAAATGCAAGGGCTGCCCTTTCATCTTCACAGGACATGCACAACCTACATCACCAAAATGGCTTTGGGGAGCCAACCAGTGAGCAGTAGATTGACCCTGGTAGTGTGCAACAATGTCTTCTTCCAGCATTTTTTGGAAGTAGTCAAGACACATGTGGGAATCACACTTGTAGAATGATGACAATTATACATCAAAGGAAAGCAAAGACACAGTGACCCTACATCTAGACTTTGGCCTACAGATCATGGTCTCTACTATATGTAATTATATTAAGTGCAATGAAAAACAATTTTTCCCCATACCTCTTTTCCTGTGGCCATGTCTAAGAAGTTGTTGATGTAGAGGAAGTTGTACCACCAGTTTTTGGCACAGCCGGGTTCAGGGGTTTTGTTGTCACCAGGATTCTTAATGATGAGAGACACCCACATGCACCCACAGCATCAACGCAAATACATAGACTGGGGTCAGTCTGCAGGGGAGAAGTGAGATGCGGCTCGAAATTCATTTTGGGTAATAGGTGCATTTTTAACCCTTGTTATTAATAATATGTAACATACCACTTACACACATAAACCTACAAAAATATTTGGGTGCACTTGTGCACCCACAGA